CAACCATCCAACTTGAATTATACTAATAATATCTCCATCTATTTCACCATCACACTGAACAATAGACCCAGTATATATATATATATATATATATATATATATATATATACTGTGTATTCTTATTAATGACTTAATCGCCCAAAATCACAATCTCCTACTAGATCTATTACTATTAGAATTACACTCCATATATTCGATATTTCGATTTTAGATCTATTCAAACGAAAACCTTTAGACTTTAAGGTTGACCTCCATAATTCAAGTTCACCTTCAACTCCATCTCTAGTTTTATCAACAAGAAGAATATCATCAACAAAAAGCTTAGACCAGGGTACAACATCTTTACAAATGTCTAGTGAGAACATCTATGACTAAAGCAAAAAAGATATAGGTTTAAGGCTGATCCTTGATGTAATCCAACTGAAATAGGAAAATACTTGGTCAAACCACCTTGTGTTTGAACACAAGTAATAGCTCATGCATACATATCCTTAATGACTTGAATATAAGCATTATTAACCCCTTTCTTATGTAGAACTCTCCATAGCACTTCTCTTGAAACTTTATCATATGCTTTCTCTAAATCAATAAATATCATATGTAGATCTCCTTATTCTCTCTATATTTCTCCATCAAACCTCTAATTAAATGTATAGCTTCATAGTATACCTACCCGTCATGAATCCAAATTTATTTTGAGAAATATTAGTATCACATCGTAACCTATGCTCCAAAACTCTCTCTCATAGTTTTAAAGTTGTCACATTAACTTAATTCCTCTATAATTCGCACAATCTTGTGCATCACCTTTATTCTTAAAAATAGGAATCAACACACTCATTCTCCATTCATTTGGCATCTTTTGTAGTCTTCAAAATAATATTAAAAAGTTTTGTAAGCCAAGAAATTCCTTCTTCTCCTAAGCATTACCACACCTCTATTGGGATATCATTGGGTCCAACAGCTTTTCCACACTTCATTTTCTTTAAAGCCTCTCCAACTTCGATTTTACTAATACGCCGATAACAATAAAATTATTTATTTTCATTTAGGGTGCTAAGATAGCTAAAGTCAATCGCATTCTCATAATCTTCATTGAAGAGTTTATAAAAATACCTCATCTATCTTAGTTGAATATCTTCTTCTAATAAAAGTACTTTTTGATATTCATCCTTAATACACTTCACTTGAACTATATCCTTATTACTCTTATCTCTTTTTTTTGGCTGGCGTATACAAATATCTTTCGCCCTCCTCAATATCTAATCTATTATATAAATCATTAAAACCTAAAATCTTTACATCACATATTGCTTTCTTAGACCAATTGATTTTGTAATTAAATAGCACCATTAAATTACGGTTACAACCAAAGCCCTTCAATGGCGAAAAATTCTTAAGTTATGAATTATAGTGATCACTTAATAGCATGGTTTAAAATTGTGCAATTAGGGGTCTACCTAAAGGCTCAGCTCAATGCAATTTAAAAAATAAGGTAATGAGGTGTACGCCTCACACTTTCTTGATAGGCTTATGCCTCAAGCGATATGAGGAATGCCTCAAGGTACACCTCAACACAATTTTAACGTAATTTTAAAAAGGCATAAGTCTCTAAAATTAGTGTTTAGATATTTTTCATTATATATATATATATATATATATACACTTATCAACTATACCTAAACCAGATCACACATGAGAAGAACTGCATGACCTCAAACTTAGCCGCACGATGCACACTGCACGACCCACATGCCCACACTCGATCATGTTATATCACCATCATCATTATGCCACGGTCGTTGCTTCACTTCTAAAATCTCCTCTCTTGTTGTTGAAAACTATTGTCTTATTTTTAGTACAAGGGAGGAGAGAAAGGAACTAACTACAATAATGATTCTAATAAAGACCCTCTAAGTGATGAGAGCATATGAAACTTGAGAATTCATAGATTATGACCTTAGACTACTTGTCTATATTAAATTGGAAGACTATTTATTTAGCATTATTCATAACCTTACATGACTTTTGATAACCTTACTTTGACTTACGAAGGTCTTATTTTAATATCTTTTTTTGATGTTAGTATGTTACTAACTATTCCAAATTTTAATCAATTTAATGGTTTAATAGGTGGATCAATGTCCCTTAAATTAATATCTTATTTTTTAACTATTTATTATCCCTTTCCTCCATAATGTCCCTTAAATTAGTGTATCGATTGCGAAAAAAATAGATTGAAACTATTGACTGGCTTCAACTCTAGACATGATAAACAAAAGGGTAATTGCCTTTTTTTTCAGCAAACTGCTCAAAACATAATTGTAAAGAATATGTCTGAAGGTTCTCCAACATCTTGAAAATTTTAACAGATATAGGAATGAGAAAACCAATTGAACATCTACACAATTTCCAAATATATAAACATACATAAAAAAACAGAAGCATCTGACCAGGTCTATTTATATTGTGGTCGCAGGTTAATTTGCAACTTCCCAAAACATTTGCAAAGTCAAATGTCAAATTTGTAGCCATATATTCAACAACTTCATATTATTATCTTGCTTATTTGGCTAAGTGCTTCTTAACATATTGCAGACATGTTTTATTCCACAAATCAGTAAAATGTACAGAGCTAGTTAAATAGAAAGGAAAAAAAAATCCAAGGCACAATTGCTAATGCAAGCTCAAGTGCAAATCCACCAGCAAAGAAAAAGTGTAAAAAGCATGCTGAATCATACAGAGGGTATATTTGCAACTATTCAATTATAAAACTTTGACATGGCACTAAACCTCAAACTCTTACCTGGAAAATAATCAAAATATGAAGAGCCCGGTATATTTGTTTTATAAGGTATGGAGTCACTGCGGAGGTGTTTGAGCTTCACTTGTGGATTACGCATTCTAGCTTGCACAATCAGATTCTCATACTCACTCTGGTTGAAAGGACTAGAAATGGCCTCAATTAACTTGTTTCTGAAATAAGTGGGTGCCATTTTCCGTATAGTTTCTAAGTAAGATTGGTAAGCTGCGATAACCTGTAAGGAATTCATAGTAAAATAGCGAAAATAAAGGATCGGGTAGTAAAAAGAATGAAGGCCATTCCAAGAGCTAGCTAGTTCAGGAACAAAACCAGTAGGCTACAAGTAAAATACTAACTGAAATTGAAGAATCCTGAGTTAAACTAGGCATCGATAAAGCAGTACTCTTCCTTAGCGAATCTTCGTGTTCATCCAGAATCTCTTGTTTAGCTTTTACTCTTTCCTCTTGCTCCTCCTCTCCCTCCTCTTCGTGCATGACAATTTCCTTGTTGTCCCGTACAAGGACTATAGACCCACCACAGATTCTGACATTATCAACAAAACCCTGTTTATTTTCATCAATCGTCTCGCGCTTTTTCTCCAAAACCCTGTTTTTGTTTGCTGTCCTGTCCGGTTCTAACCTTTTCGTGCTCTCAAAACATTTCTCAGCATCGGCAATCTCATTTGAACCACTGCGTGTTCGAGAATCGACCGCAGCGCTATACCCTGTACCCTCCTCGTTGCATTCTTCTTCATACTTCAACCTAATGCGCCGCTGTGGATTTCCCATCCATGTTTTCAGCAAATAGGACTTACCATGAACCGTTAGACTGTTTAAGAAGGTCTTGTACTCGGGGTCCATGGCATTCTCCGGTAGGGCGAAGTCGGCTTCTTCCTCCCCATAGGATATCCAAGACTCCTCGCCGGAAGCCGCAACCATATAGGCAGGCAAAGACTTGGACCGAAGGCGGCCTTTTATGCCGCTCACATTACAGGCCGCTGAATCCATGACGGCCTAAGTCCCAGCACACAAGGAAGAAAAATTGTTTTGTAAGGGATTCGAATAGAAACGAGCAGAAGAGGAGGCAGCGTCGAAGGGCGCGAGACGGAGGACTGGAACAAGGACAGGAAGAAGGACTCTGTGCTTGAGCAGGCGTTACTTTTTTGTTTTTTTAAGCGTTGCGGTTGGGTGGGGGAAGCTCGTGCATGCTTAGCTTGTTTTGTAAACTTTTTTTTCTGTTTTTAAAAATAATTTTTATCATAAAAGTTTTTTAATTTAAATATTTTTTATATTAAAATATAGAGATTTACAAACATATCACATTATACTACTCTATTTATATATTTAACACCTAAAATTTTAATATTACATACATAACACTCATAGTTCTTTTTCATGTCAATTATGAGTCGTATAAATGAAATATATTAGTGGTAGGAAAGAAATAAACGTTGTATATTTGATATTAAAAAAAGATAGAGTGGTATGCATGTAATATTAAAGTTTAGGGTGTTAGATATGTAAATAGGATGTTATAATGTGGTATGTATGTAAATTTTCCAATAAAAAATTAAAAAAAAAATTAACCTAAATAAAATAATAAATAAATTTTTATCCAAAAATCAATACTTGAAAAGGCAATTTTGTCCAACTTTTTTTTTATTATCCACCGAGCTTCATTCGTCCATTTGGAAAGATAATCAGTACGTACACATACCGAAGAAATCGATAAAAAATAGGATTTTTTTAAGAAACATGGTATTTAATTTAAATTAGAAATATGAGCAAAGTATTGAAAATTAAAAATTAAAAAAAAACTAGTCAAACAGAATGGCACATTCATTGAATGCGTCAAACTATTTGACGTATTTAAAATAAATCAAACAGTTTGACGGATTCAATGGAATGCAATGTTATGTCTGGTGCATTCAATTTTGTTCGGCTGACAGAGGTCAATGCATTCTTTAGAATGTGTCATTCTGTTTGACTATGTTGCTTTTTTTTTTAATTTAGGGTTTAATATTCTGCTCATATTTCTAATTTAAATTTTTTGGGTTTTTACATGTATAACATTTAAAACTGACATATTTACCTATTAAACACCTAAAGTTATCTATTTACTAATATACCACCTCAAAATCTTTAACCTAATAAAAAAAAACACTCCGTTCCATCCTGTTCCATTCCGTCAAAGCGAAGCCGAAATAGCGCGGGAATCTCCTCTCTTCTTTGTTGATACCGCCCTGACAAATTTCTATCACCTTCGTCTTCCCAGGTCTCACACCGAAATAGACTGAATCCCCTCGCAACATTGCCTAGGTATGAAGATACTATGAATGAAAATCATTGCATAAGATCTTTTAGTTTTGATTTCTATTCGAGCTCTATCGCGAACCAAAACAGATCATCTTGGTGTAGAAAATTTTTTTATTTAGCTAAGTACAGAGACATGTAGTCTAGCTTTGTCGCTACAGCAGTATTCTCGATTTTTTGGATTTTACAGAGCTTGAAGTCTATAAGGAATTCGATGCCTTTTGGTTGTTTAGTTTTTTCCGTAGTATCTTTCCTGCATTCAACTCCTGTATTCATTTTTATTACAAGATCGTTAATTTTACAGAGCTTGAAGTCTGTTTATGTTTTTTTTTTTGATTTTACAGAAAATGAAGTCTGTTTCGGTTTTTTTGGGATTTGGCTTTATTGTATAAAATGTTCTGTTTTTTTTTTTTTTTTTAATTTGGCTTTATTGTATAAAATGCAGATATGGACCGTAACAATTTGTGTTCTATTATCTTCAAATATGGAGGATATTGGACAACGGTGAAGAGGGAAACCAGGATGAAATATGTTGGAGGAAGTCTGAAAACATTGAATTTTGAGAGAGACACAATTAATTTGTTACTATTAAAAGAACAAACTGAAGCAATCTGCCGATGGCTTAGGGGTCATGTATATGATTTACACTATCATTGTAATGGCACATCGCCTAAAGTTTATTTGCCAATTAGGAGTGATGCTGATGTTATGGACATGCTAGCCGCTAGTTATGATGGCAATAGAATGGAGGTGGTGGTTGCAGTGAAAGAAGCTGAAGAAGATATGGGTTATGCAGATGGCTTGTGTGATGTAACTGTAAACACTAGATTGAACAATGACATAACTGCAGATGGTTTGTGTGATGGTTCCTAATTTTGAAGCACAATTAGTCATAAATGTGGTCGATGCAATTCTTGGGGATACAATAGAAGTACTTGCAAGGAACCTATAAGTTTTGAAGGACAAGATATTCAGACTGATTGTGCTTCAAAATTACCATTCGGCGCTCAAATTATAATTCTGACTTTTGAGTCAAATACCTACAGTTTTTTGTTCTGTATTTTGGCTTTAGACTGATGTTATAATCTTGATCAAATACTTGTATTTTGTATGACCTTTGAACCAATTATAATATTTACGATTTGTATGACTTTTAAACCAAGATTTCTTGCTTATGTATTCTGTATTTTATTCTGTTACTGCGGCATTTAGCTACGTGAAATCAACTTTCAACTATGTGATGATATAAAGCCGTGCAGCATTCAGCTAGTTCCCTATCAGTAAATGAATGGGTAATTTTGCTGTACCGAAGCAATTTTCTGCTCTGAAGCAATTTGCTGCTCTGAAGCAATTAACGTTAGAAAAAATGCGGTATTTGCTGTTTATATTTGCTGCTCTGAAGCAAAGTGCTCCAATAACTTTTCTGTAAAAAATGCGGTATTTGTTGTTCCGAAGCAATTTGCTCTGAAGCAGCTCCGAATAAGGATGTTTTTTATCTGTATTAGCATGATGCCAAATAAGCAGAAGATACAAATGCTCCAATAACATTAACGTTGCCGAAGCAGTACAAGTTCGCATTGATTGAATAAAAGTTACAGTGACACGAAGTGCCAATCACACACAACTACATTTAATTACTATGAACGCTACAATAACATTAACGAAAAGCACTACAACCAACAAGATTTTTAGTTGTAACAGCTCGGCTCTTAGTGAATGTACATGTGTTGGACCACTTTCAGCAACATTTGAACTGCGGGAATTGCTTTCATATGGCAATTCATTAACTTCATCACACCAACGAAAATAATGGCAATCGTCTTCTGATCTATTCCGGGAGCATCTGTAGAATTTCCTTCCTCTACTACGAGATTGGTAAGATGTAAATATCGTACATTGTAAGTTACAATGACAATATACTTGATTACTTAATTTTCTGATTGACATAGGCGAGGAACTCGAGCTCATTGTAGATTGCCTTGTATATTGAATTCACATAATACACCTTCAAAAAAATTAAATAAAATGAAGACATGTATAAGTAAACAATTCCTTGGCATTCAATTCATTCCAAAAATACACATTGACATTTCATCAAACACCTATTGTGCATTTCTAAAATTACAAACACAACATAGTTAATGAAAACTTAAGAAGTTCACCCTAAAAAAACTAATGCATAAGATCTGTAACATGGTGCCAAATGGACTAAATAACAACCAAAACTTCATATTAACTAGTCCAATATAAACTTTTAAAAAAAAAACTGGAAGGAATAACCTGCCGTGCGATAGGCCGATCAGGACGAACAGGGCGAGCTCCGACGTTGAAGAGGTGAGTGTCGAACGTTTAAGAAGGGCCTAGTTGTGAGCTCCGACGTTGAAGAGGGGAACGAGTGTCTAGAGAGGGCGGAGAGGGCGGATGTGCGAATAAGGGCGGAGTAGCGAACGGGAGTGGCGAACGGGATAGGGAACGAACGTGACGGAAGTGCTATAAAAGTTTTAGAATGATAGTTTGAGATGGTATATTAGTAAATAGGTAACTTTAGGTGTTTAATAGGTAAATATAACAATTTTAAGTGTTATACATGTAAAAAAAAAATCCTAAAAAAATGTATTTTTAACTATATAATAAAATCTAGGAACTTTACTAGATTTAAACGAGAATTTGACTTTTAACAAGATACAATTGAAAAAAAGATGATGTCGGTGATAACTAGGGCTGTCAAAAATGGGTCACGGGTCGGGTTCGGGTCCAACCCGAAATTGACCTGACACTGTTCAACCCGAACCTGACCCGTTTTTGCAAACGGGTCGGTTTTCCGAACTCGAACCCGACCCGCTTCGTGTCCGGGTCAACCCGAACCCAACCCGCTTCGGGTATATTTTATTAAATTTTTTTACTTAATTCAATTTATTTAAATCTAAATCAAATTAAGGTAAAATTTACTTCAATTAATTTAAAATAAATCAAGATTAATTTAATTTGGACAACAATGTTTATAATTTTTTGAAATATCATTTATTTATTTCATAAAAATCCTTTAAAATTCTCCTAAATTAATTAAAAACGGGTCAAACCAGGTCGATTTCGGGTTTTCGGGTCAACCCGAACCCGACCTGATTTTACAAACGGGTCGAAATCTCCAACCCGAACCCGACCCGGTTCGGGTTCGGGTCGGGTTAAATGTTGACAGCTCTAGTGATAACTACTCAGAAGAATGTAATAAGGATTGCTCTCTTTCAATTGTTGCCAACAAAAAAAAAATGTACCCAACACCATGTAGTGAGACAAAGGCTTGATATTGTCGTTGTTTTTGGATAATAAAGTTAGGAACTATATTCTGTTAAATCATTTTAGTAAAATAACTCTAAATAATGAATTATTATTGCGTCCTCCCACCTGACGTAGAGATGCGTCCTCCCAGAGCTAAAATCACGCTAAAAAACGAGAAATGCCAAGCAAATACCGAGCAATACCAAACAATAACGAGGAATATCATCATGTGAAGAGCTATACCGAGCTATACCGAGCAATACCGAGCAATACAAAAAAATACATAGTTTTTCCTAGAGAAAACCGGTACAACACTTGTTTTTATTTTTTTAACATATTTAATATATATTTTAGCTATTTTTTAAAAATAAGTTAAATTAATTTTGATAATAGTAAAAAGAACTTTAAAGTTTTTGGGTGTCTCTATTTTTCTTTTTTTTTTAAATCAAAACCAATATGGAGATCGTTCATCACCGTCGACCAATAATAACTGTCACTGACTACTATCTCCTATTCAGTAAGAATAG